TCCATGAGAGCCCTTACGAGACCATTTTCCACAAATTTAATATTTCTAAGAGGCATAACTCTTTTAAAAAAAAGTCTATCGTCCACCATTTGAGAACTTGTCTGAGATGTTTCTGATATTAACCTATAGTATAAGTTTTATAAAAATCTGGCAAGAATTGTACCCATGAGAGCCCTAACGAGGCCATTTTCCATAAATTTAATATTTCTAAGGGGCATAACTCTTTTAAAAAAAGTTGATCGTCCACCATTTTAGAACTTGTATGAGATATTGCTGATATTAACCTATAGTATAAGTTTTATAAAAATCTGACAAGAATTGTATCCGTGAGAGCGCTAACAAGACCGGTATTTCCATGTCCCCCACAATGCGTTACGTGGGGGACAAAAAATTGCAGAAAGGGGCAGCAAGACTAATTTTAGACACTAATCCACTTTCAGCATCAGCACCACTACTTCAACAGCTTGGGTGGTTGACAGTACAGTATAGAATATCATACCCTAAATATGTTTCGATGCATTAAATGCCTTAAGTATGAAGCCCCTATATATTAACCAATAACAAATGAAATGCCAGAAAATAACCAATATTGTTTGTGGTATACATGATCATACGTCAAAAGAGAGTTGTATTTAGAAATCTTTTATATATATTCAGGATCTTCTTTATGGAACAACTAGCTATTTCTGAAAGAATCAACCTCAAGTACAAGTTCTTTCAAAAAAGATTTAAAAAAGAATTGTTGGAAGTTGTGTAATATTATATGCATATTTGTAACACTCTTGAACTTTGAATATAGGAGAGGAACATGTTATTTAAATGATGAAAACTGTATGAATTCATCATTTTTACCTGTTTTATTAATTGAAAAAGATTTCTCATTTGATTTTTTCTTATGTGTGTGTTTTTGTCAAGCCTTCGACTTTTGTCAAAAAAGCGAGACATAGCGATCCTACATTCCTTCGTCGTCGTCGTCGGTGGCATCCACAAATATTCACTCTGTGGTTAAAGTTTGTGAAATTTTAATAACTTTCTTAAACTATCCTGGATTACTACCAAACTTGGACAGAAGCTTGTTTATGATCATAAGATAATATTCAAAAGTAAATTTTGTAAAAAAAAAAAATTCCATTTTTTCCGTCTTTTACTTATAAATGGACTTAGTTTTTCTGCCAGGAAACATTACAATTTCACTCTGTGATTAAAGTTTTTGAAATTTTAATAACTTTCTTAAACTATCCTGGATTTCTACCAAACTTGGAAAGAAGCTTGTTTATGATCATAAGATAGTATCCAGCAGTAAATTTTGTAAAGAAAAAATTCCATTTTTTTCGTATTTTACTTATATATGGACTTAGTTTTTCTGCCAGTTAACATTACATTCACTCTGTGGTTAAAGTTTTTGAAATTTTAACAACTTTCTTAAACTATCCTGGATTTGTACCAAACTTGGAAGCTTGTTTATGATTAAAAGCTAGTATCTAGAAGGAAATTTTGTTAAAATTTTGTTCCATTTTTTCCGTATTTTACTTATATATGGACTTTTTCTGCCAGTTAACATTACATTCACTCTGTGGTTAAAGTTTTAAAATTTTAACAACTTTCTTAAACTATCCTGGATTTGTACCACACTTCGACAGAAGCTTGTTTATGATTAAAAGCTAGTATCTAGAAGGAAATTTTGTTAAAATTTTGTTCCATTTTTTCTGTATTTTACTTATAAATGGACTTAGTTTTTCTTCCAGTTAACATTACATACAGTCTGCAGTTTTAAGTTTTTAAAACATTTATTAAATATTGCCGGTATTTTTAATGACCATTCTGTTAAAGAACAAGTTCCTGGATATTTTGATAATACTGAACTCCCTCTTATTTGTTATATTTACAAGAATTCTACCCGAAAATTTGTGTTTAATTATAGCCAAGTCTGTAAAGATGTAAATATCAGTGAAAATACACCTTCGTCATGTAATTGTAGTAATTCCGAATACACTTATGGCCCCATTTCCCATGTTATAACAGGAGACCTTAACATCGTTCGCGGCCGAGAGTTAAAATCATTCCTCAGTAAAGGACCTAAATATCGTCCCCCGTCAATTATTAATTGGAATGAGTTTCGTAATATCATCCACGACTCACTTCGTGCTTACTGTTTGAAATGGATAAAACGGGAAAAAGCTGACAAAAAATCTTTGGACTCTTTTTTTAATTCAGTAATGAAGATAGTTGATATACGTATACAACATTTTAAAGAACATTTTACTCTTAACAACAACCATAAAAATCCTATTTCTCGTATCAAACATAAACTAAAAGAACTATCCAAGGAATTTGTTTTTGTCCCGGCTGATAAAGCTGCTAATAATATCATTATAGTTTGACGTTAATTTTACATTGAGGTTCTGGAAAAGGAAATCACGAATTCACCAACATTCCAACTGACTTCATTTTCAGAAAACGATATCTGTAACAAACATAAACTATTAGCTACTTCTTTACAAGCAGAACCAAATATAATGAAAGTCCCAATTATGTACTGGCTTCCGAAGCTACACAAATCACCTTACAAATATAGATTTATTTCGTCTTCAAGTCATTGTTCCACTACTGAATTGTCTATTCTACTTACTAGTACACTTGGTACAATCAAAAACCTGATAATAAATTGTTCAAATAAGGCCTTTGAAAATAGTGGAATTAACTACTTTTGGAGTGTCAAAAACTCGTTGGAAGTACTTGATAAATTGCATGCATATATTGGTGATTTTGAATCTGTTCAAAGTTTTGATTTTTCTACCCTATATACCACTTTGCCTCATATTCTTCTTAAGAAAAAATTCACATACCTAATTAAATGGGCATTTAAAAAGTCGGAATGTGAATACATATGTTCAAACTCTTTTAGGTCATTTTTTAGTTGCAACAAACAAAAGAGCTATGTCAATTGGACATGCTTTGATACTATATCTGCCCTTGAATTTTAATTTGATAACATTTTTGTTCGCCTTGGAGATTCCGTATATCGTCAAGTTATCGGAATTCCATTGGGGACTAACTGTGCACCACTTATTGCGGACCTGTTTTTGTATTGTTATGAGTTACAATTTATCACTAAAATCAGCAAAGACCCATCGAAACAACATCTGATACAAAAATTTAACAATACTTTTAGATATTTGGATGATATATTGGCTCTCAATAATGACGACTTCAGTATGTATACTAAAGAAATTTATCCTGTTGAACTTACTTTAAATAAAGCTAATACTAACAATGACCACTGTCCTTTCCTCAATCTTGATATCTATTCATTAACGGGAAGCTTAATACAAAAATTTATGATAAAAGTGATGATTTTTCATTTCCTATTGTTAATTATCCATTTTTAGATGGCAACGTTCCCTTGTCACCATCTTATGGTGTGTATATATCTCAACTTGTACGATTGGCTCGTGTATGTAACAACGTATTAGATTTTAGCAAGAGAAATTTATGTATTACTGAAAAATTATTACACCAGGGTTTTCGATATCATAAACTAGTCAAAACATTTACTAAATGTTATCATCGGTATAAGGACATCATTCGTAAATATAACTCAACATGCAGACTTCTTATACGTTCGGGTATTTCACATCCAATCTTTTATGGTAATATTCTTTACAAAGCACAAAAATGTCAGTATTCACCTCAAAAGTTAACAAAACCTTTAAACAAACTTATTAAGAAGGGATATAGTTACGATACTGTTGTCAGGTCATTAAAGATTGCATATTTTGGCTTTAATATTGATTCACTTATAGGGTCTTTGCATCGGAATTAAACATATTTATTCTGAAACCAGTTGTTGGCATGACACGGGTAATATGTTCTTCTCATATATTTTATGACGGTATAATACTAAACCCCTAACAGGAGGGATTGTGCCTGATATTCATATGATGAAGACATAATCTTTCAATCAGTTTAATTGAGGTCTGGAGCTGGCATGTCTGTAACTGCTAGTAGTCTGTTGTTATTTATGTATTATTGTCATTTTGTTTATTATCTTTTGTTTCCTATTCTGACATCGGACTCGGACTTCTCTTAAACTGAGTTTTACTGTGCGTACTGTTGTACGTTTGTTTTTCTAAATTGGCTAGAGGTATAGGGGGAGGGTTGAGATCTCAAAAAACATGTTTAACCCCGCCGCATTTTTGCGCCTGTCCCAAGTCAGGAGCCTCTGGCCTTTGTTAGTCTTGTATCATTTTTAATTTTAGTTTCTTGTGTATAATTTGGAGTTTAGTATGACGTCCATTATCACTGAACAAGTATACATATTTGTTTAGGGGCCAGCTGAAGGACGCCTCCGGGTGCGGGAGTTTCTCGCTGCATTGAAAACCCATAGGTGGCCTTCGGCTGTTGTCTGCTCTATGGTCGGGTTGTTGTCTCTTTGACACATTCCCCATTTCCATTCTCAATTTTATTAGATTCATAAACAATCCTGGATTTTTACCAAACTTGGACAGAAGCTACTTACAATCAAAAGATAGTATAGAGAGGAATATTTATATTAATTTTTTTCCTCATTTTTGTTGAGCCTGCGATTAACAGCAAAAGTAGGCGAGACACTGGGTTCCGCAGAACCCTTACGAATTTTTATTAATTTGAACCTCTTTGTTATATTTCAATGTATTTTATGTGGGCCTCAGGGTAGAATAGTTTTATAGCTAACTGTGTTACCCTCTTTAAATAGAAAATTATTATTATTATTATTATTATTATTATCATTATCATTATATGACCTTCATTCTAAAATACATTTTTTTCATATTTTACTGCCCTCTTTTAGAATAAAGTGTAAAAATGTGGCAATATTAACCAATTTATATTTTAATCAAAATGGAAAATACACATTATGCACATGAGTAAAGGTCATATTTACTTTCTGCCTCGGTTTACATGAAATGGTTAATTAACACCCATTAGTATTCTAGTGTTCTGATTAATAGTATAATTACCTTGTAAAGTTAGAACACTTATTAAATTTAATGTAGGTTGAAGCAAGCACAAAATCTTTAAATGTCACATTTAGCTGAAATGGTCCTGAAAAAGAAAATATGAATACATCATGACAAAAGATCAAATTAACTGCTCGACTAATTAATACAAAGTTTTAAAAAAAAACTGAAGTTTCATAAGTCTGCAATGTCATATCAGAAATTTAAATAAAACAATAAAACAAAGGGGAGCTTATCTCATTTTTTATCTATCCAAGGTACAAGGGCAATAACTAAAAAAAAGCCCTTTTTTTTCTTTAAAACTTTGATTAATATCGTAAGAGAAATGAAGGCTTCAGAGCAAATGCAATGTGATTTCCAATAAAAATTATATTTCCAAGGGGCAAAACTCAATAAAAATATTTGATCAGAACTTATTTTCAAAATGGTCATCTAAACCGTTTCATAAAATTCTGGCAAGAATTGAACACATGAGAGCACTAACGATGCAATTTTTCATAAAATAAATGTTTCAAAGGGGCATAACTCTTATAAAAATATTTGATAGGCACTGATTTTCGAAATTGTCCAAGACATTGCTGATATTAACATATGATATAAGTTTCATAAAAATCTGGCAAGAATTGAACACATGAGAGCGCTAATGATGCAATTTTCCATAAAGTTAATGTTTCCAAGGGGCATAACTCTTGTAAAAATATTTGATCTGCACTGATTTTCGAACTCATCCATGACATTGCTAATATAAACCTATGATATAAGTTTCGTAAAAATCTAGCAAGAACTGAACACATGAGAGAGCTAATGATGCAATTTTCATGAAATTAATGTTTCCAAGGGGCATTTAATAAACTCTTATAAAAAAATATTTGATCAACACTGATTTTCCAGCTTGTCCAAGACATTGCTGATATAAACCTATGATATAAGTTTCATAAAAATCTGGCAAGAATTGTACAAGTGAGAGCGCAAAAAAGACCGGACAGATGAATGCACAGGCAGACGGTTGGACGGAAAGACAGATGGGCACCTGGTATTTCCATGTCCCATGCAATGCGTTATGCAGTGGACTATATACAAGCCACCAAAGTTTCATGAAACCTGCTGAAAGCATTTTTGACTTATTGTCAAAAACAGGAAAATCCCCCCTTTTTATGGAGTCCCAATACTCAAGAAAGTAAAATCAGAAATTTTTAAAAATCAAAAAGGAAATTTTTATTATTGATTTTTTTTTTTTTTTGTGTTTGACAAATTAAAACTGGAAAATCACAATGTTTAGATTAAGACCTTCTTAAATGTATTCTTTAACTGAAAAAAATATGCAAATTTCAATAAGAACAATGTTTAATTTTTGTCAGAATTCAACTTTTTATGATTAAATCAGTGTTTATATTGAACAATTGAAAATATATTATTGATATTGAATAAATACAACATCACATGCAGTTTTTAGAGTTGATGCATGTATTTTCATCAACTTAGGAGATATTTTTTTTACACAGGTAAATTAATCTTTGAGTGATGGTTTTCTCTTAGATGAAATTTAAAAGTCCAAGTGAACAAGCATTCTGTGAGTATTGCCTGGCAATCAAGCATGACCAAAAACTAGAGGCTCTCAAGAGCCTGTGTCGCTCACCTGTATTTACTGATGCTTTGGAAATCATGTAAAATAAGGTTAAAATCATAATTAATAGTATTAGATATTAGATATTATAATGATATCTAAGATAATAACAAAAAACTTCAAAATTTTTGTAAAATTACTAACTCAGGGGCAGCAACCCAACAATGGGTTGTCGGATTCGTCTGAAAATTTCAGGGCAGATAAATCTAAATCTGATGAACATTTTTGCCACCTGTCAGATTTGCTCTAAATGCTTTAGTTTCAGAGATATAAACCAAAAACTGCATTTTACCCCTATGTTCTATTTTTAACCAAGTCGGCCATGATGGTTGGAAGGCGGGGTCATCGGACAAATTTTTTAAACTAGATACCCTAATAATGATTATGGCTAAGTATGGTTAAATTTGTCTCAGTAGTTTCAGAGAAGAAGATTTTTGTAAAAGATTACAAAAATTTACAAAAAATTGTTAAAAATTGACTATTAAGGGCAATAACTCCTAAAGGGGTCGACTGACAATTTTGGTCATACAACTTATTTGTAGATCTTACTTTGCTGAACATTATTGCTGTTTACAGTTTATCACTATCTATAATAATATTCAAGATAATAAGCAAAAACTGCAAAATTTCCTTAAAATTACCAATTCAGGGGCAGCAACCCAACAACAGGTTGTCAGATTTGTCTGAAAATTTCAGGGCAGATAGATCTTGACCTGATAATCAGTTTTACCCTATGTCAGATTTACTCTAAATGCTTTGGTTTCAGAGATATAAGCCAAAATCTACATTTTACCCCTATGTTCTATTTTTAGCCATGGCGGCCATCTTGGTTGGTTGGCGGGGTCATCAGACACATTTTTTAAACTAGATACCCTAATGATGATTGTGGCCAAGTTTGGTTAAATTTAACCCAGTGGTTTCAGAGGAGAAGATTTTTGTAAAAGTTAACGGACGACGACGACGGACGACGGACAACGGACGCCAAGTGATGAGAAAAGCTCACTTGGCCCTTTGGGCTAGGTGAGCTAAAAATGAGGAAAACTGATTATTTGAGTGAATTTTCTAAGTCCAAGGACCATAACTCTGCACAAAATCATTAGACTGGAACAAAATTTGTACTTGATCTGTAACTTGACATGATAAAACTATTTACCAATCATCAAATCAATATATTTAAGCATGACAAAAAAAAGTGCCAAAAACTGATTATTTGAGTTAATTTTCTAAGTTGAAGGACCATAACTCTGCACAAATTCGTCAGATCGGAACAAAATTCAAACTTGATCTGTAACTTGTCATGATAAAATAATACACCAAATATCAAATCAATATCTTCAAGCATCAGGAAACTAAAGGCTCTAAGGAGCCTGTGTTGCTCACCTGATATTTTTATTTACAATTGATGCATAAATCAATGCAACGGTTATACTTTTGCTTTAGTTTCAGAGATATAAGCCAAAAACTGCATTTTACCCCTATGTTCTATTTTTAGCCATGTCGGCCATGTTGGTTGGCAGGCAGGGTCATCAGACACATTTATTAAACTAGATACCCTAATGACGGTTGTGACCAAGTTTGGTTAGATTTGTCTCAGTAGTTTCAGAGGAGAAAATTTTTGTAAGATTACAAAAATTTACGAAAATTTGTTAAAAATTTACTATAAAGGACAATAACTCCTTAAGGGGTCAATGGACCATTTTTGTCATGTTTGACTTATTTGTAGATCTTACTTTGCTGAACATCATTGCTGTTTACAGTTTATCACTGTCTATAATAATATTCAAAATAATAACCAATAAAACGCTCCGCAGGGCGCAGCTTGATACGACCGCAGAGGTCGAACCCTGAACAGTTGGGGCAAGTATGGACACAACATTCAAGCTTGATACAGCTTTGCATTTGGATTGTGATTAAATATTTGACACAGCATAGGTTTCTGACACAGAATGAATGTGGTCTAAGAACTTAAAAATTTAAAATTGGACATTCACCTATTATGGTCCAATATCCAAAATCTAAATACATGGTTAGATTCAGCATATCAAAGAACCCCAAGAATTCAATCTTTGATGAAATCAAACAAAGTTTAATTTTGGACCCTTTTGACCTCAATGTGGACAAAGTTGATAACGGGGCCCAAAAATCAAAAATCTAAATACATGGGTAGATTTAGCATATCAAAGAACCCCATATATTCAATTTTTGTTGAAATCAAACAAAGTTTAATTTTGGACCCCGATTTGGACCAACTTGAAAACTGGGCCCATAATCAAAAATCTAAATACATGTTTAGATTCAGCATATCAAAGAACCCTAAGAATTCAATTTTTGTTAAAATCAAACTAAGTTTAATTTTGGACCCTTTGGACCTTAATGTAGACCAATTTGAAAACGGAACCAAAAATTAAGAATCTAAATACACGGTTAGATTCGGCATATCAAAGAACCCCAATAATTCAAATTTTGATGAAATCAAACAAAGTTTAATTTTGGACCCTTTGGACCTCAATGTGGACCAATTTAAAAACGGGGCCCAAAATCCAAAAACTTAATACACGGTTAGATTCAGCATATTAAAGAACCCCAAGAATTCAAGAATAAAACCCCATTGAAATTGGTCAAGAAATAAGCAGTTTATACGAAGTTTCTTCTTTTGCACAATACTGTGCAATTGAATATTTCTTGCTATTGCGCAATACTGTACAATTGACAATTTCTTGCTATTGCGCAATATTGTGCTATTGGATATTTCTTACTATTGCGCAATACTGTGCAATTGAAGATTTCTTGCTATTGCGCAATACTGTGCAATTGAAGATTTCTTGCTATTGTGCAATACTGTGCAATTGAAAGTTTCTTGCTATTGCACAATACTTATTATATAAAAATTTACACATCCTGTTTGGTGTGTATCTCCTACCATATCATTATTATTTGCTTTTAAATATAAATCAGAAATAACCAACTTAAAATGGAAAATTTTAAAAGAAAAAAAAAAGGAAAAAAAAAAATCCCCCCCCCCCCTCCAAATTTTTTGAACCCTCTTATGATTCATCACCCCCAAACTCAATCCCAGCCTTCCCTTTGTGGTATGGTACCTTGCAGTACAATTTCAGAGAGATCCATACACTTAAACACAAGTTATTGTCTGGAAACTAGAATAAACAGCTGCGCCATGAGCGCATGATACGCCCGTCGTCTTGTGTGTGAATTTTTATGCAATAAGCATAAATAGTTTCTGACATACGGCGTGACATGCGAAAACCCCCTTTTTTTTTTTACAAAAAACTCAATATCTATAAAATAAAATTTTGAATCAAAACCAAAAAGTATACAGATCTTTAGATTAATATAACTAAGAAGTGTGTAAAATTTTAAGCAATAATCATAAATCGTTTTTGAGATACGGCGCGACATGTGAAAACACCCCTTTAAAAAAAAAAAATCAATATCTCAAAAATAAAATTTTGAATCAAAACCAAAAAGTATACAGATCTTTAGATTAATATAACTAAGAAGTGTGTAAAATTTTAAGCAATAATCATAAATCATTTTTGAGATATGGCGCGACATGTGAAAAACCCCTCCCCCTTTTTTTACAAAATACTCAATAACTCAAAAATAAAATTTTGAATCAAAACCAAAAAGTATACAGATCTTAAGGTTAATATAACTAAGAAGTGTGTAAAGTTTTAAGCAATAATCATAAACTGTTTTTGAGATACGGTGCGACATGTGAAAAACCCCTCCCCCTTTTTAACAAAATACTCAATAACTCAAAAATAAAATTTTGAATCATCACCAAAAAGTATACAGATCTTAAGATTAATATAACTAAGAAGTGTGTAAAGTTTTAAGCAATAATCATAAATTGTTTTTGAGATACGGCGCGACATGTGAAAAAAAACACACACCTGTTTTAGTTACTAAGTCCCGTAACTCAAAAAGTTTTAATCTTATTTTCACCAAAAAGTATACAGATCGTTTGACCATCATAAGAAACAACTATGTTAAGTTTCATGAAATTTGGATAAGTCGTTCTCAAGTTACGGTGCGACATGTTTACGCCGGACAGACAGACGGACAGACAGACGGACGGACAGACAGACGGACAGACAGACGGACGGACGCCGGACATTTGTATAACATAATACGTCCCGTCAAAAATTTGACGGGCGTATAAAAATGTGTTTTTTGGCCCCTTTTTGGCTCCAAATTCCTAAACGTTTCGACAATTACACCCAAACTCAATTCCAGCTTTCCCTTTGTGATATGGAACCTTGTAGTACAATTTCATAAAGATCCATACACTTACACACAAGTTATTGTCATGAAACTAGAAAAATGCTTGTTTTTAGCCCCTTTTTTGGCTACTAATTCCTAAAATTTTGAGGCAATTACCCCCAAAATCAATCCCAGCATTCATTTTGTGATATGGAACCTTGTGGTACAATGTCAGAGAGATCCATACACTAACACACAAGTTATGTCTGGAAGTTAAAAAAAATGCTTATTTTTGGCCCCTTTTGGCCCCTAATGCCTTTACTGTTGGTACCATAACCCCCAAAATCAATCCCAACCTTCCTTTTGTGGTATTGAACCTTGTGGTAAAATTTCAAAGAGATCCATTCACTTAAACTAAAGTTAGAGTGCGAAAACCAATGTGTCTTCGGACGACGACGACAACAACAACGACGACAACAACGACGACGACGACTACAACGCCAACGTCATACCAATATACGACCACAAAATTTTTTTGCGGTCGTATAAAAACTGCAAAATTTCCTTAGAAAATTACCAATTCAGGGGCAGCAACCCAACAACTGGTTGTCCGATTTGTCTGAAAATTTCAGGGCAGATAGATCTTGACCTAATAAACAATTTTACCCATGTAAGATTTGCTCTAAATGCTTTGGTTTCAGAGATATAAGCCAAAATCTACATTTTTACCCTATGTTCTATTTTTAGCCATGGCGGCCATCTTGGTTGGTTGGGGGGTCATCGGACACATTTTTACAACTAGATACCCCAATGATAATTATGGCCAAGTTTGGTTAAATTTGGTCCTGTAGTTTCAGAGGAGAAGATTTTTGTAAAAGTTAACGACGGACGCCAGAAGCCAAGTGATGAGAAAAACTCACTTGGCCCTTTGGGCCAGGTGAGCTAAAAAAGTGTGGAAAACTGATTTGCCGGACTGACAGACAGACAGACAGACAGACCTTCGACTGACTTCATCGGTAAGGAACTAATAAACTACACAGAGTACAATAGCTAATTGTATTTATTTGTTGGGACAATTGAACAGACAAAAAGTTTAAATACCTTGACCAAGAGGAGATGACTCTGTGGAAATGTTTTATTTGGTTCGCAATAATGATGTCTTTATACTAAATCCATTGGATGTTGGATGTGTATTGATTGATATTTTAGTCTTCGATACATTTTTATTTGTTGTTATTGGCTATAAACTAGCTGTCAGTAACTGCGAGTACTCTCAGATCTGAAGTTCAGAACTATGTGTCTCTTTTGTTGTGAGGGATGCATAAATTCCCTACCACATCTGCTGTGTGTTTTTGTTATATGTTTTTTCTGCTTTGTATCGTTCTGATGAGTTAAGCCCTTTTCAACTGATTTGTATAGTTTGTTTTTATGTTGTGCCATTACACAACTGTCCCAAGTTAAGGGAGGGTTGGAGCCTTCAAACATGCTTAACCCCGCCACATTCTTTATGTGCCTGTCCCAAGTCAGAAGCCTATATTTCAGTGGTTGTTGTTGGTTAATGTCTGTCATATTTGGTTTTTTTTCGTAAATTGTTTTGTTATATTTTCTTAAATGAATTGTTTCATATTTTTCATGTAGGGGCCTTTTATACCTGACTATACAGTATTGGTTTTTCTCATTGTTGAAAGCCCTATGGTTGCCTATAATTGATTTAAACATCCACTTCATTTGAACTTTGATGGATATTTGTCTCATTGGCAATAATACCCACATCTCCTTATTTTTCTCAAAGAAGATAACTCCAATCTAAAATATTATTATTACAATGACATCAAAGACGGAAACCCAATTGAAATTCAACAAAAGAAATGAAATTTATTAGAGAAGGTAAAAAAGGCCAAGTTGGTATATTACATTGGTTTACATTGGTTTCTATGGGCTTTAAAAGTTGAATTAAGGTGAATAAATTAGGATTTTATGCATCTTATATATCTGTTTTTATTTAAATTATAGTATGGAGCTTCGAGATATTTGTAAACTTTTAAATTAAAGACAAATTTTCAAAAACAGTTGACAAGTGGATCTTTTTTGTGGATAATCATAAATTCCTGCGAAAAAAGTTTCAAAGAAAAATAAAAGATTGATCTTTTTAAAACATTTATTTGCATCTCTGCCCCCAGAGACATATTTCTTTTTTGGAAAAAATTCTTACAATGAGCAATAATTTTATCAAAAAGAGAAAGTCCAGTACACCTTTTTATGTTCAGGTGTGTTTGGGTTGACTACTTTGTCTTAAAAACGTATAAAGCATAAATATTTGATACATCATCTCTCTTCAGATTCTATTATTTTTATATATTTAAGCTACAGGTTGATATAATAACAAAAAAAAATTCACAGTACTAAAAAATGAAATATATGGTTCTGTTGAGTCATAACAAGAGAATAGGTGTGTTTGAATAACACATTTTTACTTAAAGTACTTGATGAAACCATTACATTTGGAACTAAAAAATGCACACCTTCAAAAAAACTTCATTTTTTGTATGTCTTATCATAGTTATTAGTCTTCAACCACTGAAATTTTTTTAGTCTGCCCTTCCATGAAATATTAAATAACATTTTTTTTCAATGTTTTTGAACTTTCAAAATTCTCCCTGACAACCGGTCAGACAAAAGTTTTAAGTTGACTAAAAGGATAAAAGTACATTAAATGATGCTCAATAGCCAGTATACATTTCTTTTAAAATGCAACTGCCAGGATCTTAATGATGCCTATATATATGTTGATTAAATTTATTGGTTTTCAAGAGCTAAATTGTCAGTGCATCATCCCTCCAATGGCTTCCATATTTACGATTGTAAAAATTAGCTGGCGTAATGGGGAGATAATTTTGAAGAATAAGAATCCTGACTGATCATTGATATTTTTAGAAGAGATACTAGATTTGTGCAACATGCACAATTTAAGCAATTTACTTGAAAGTATAATACACATACACATCATTTTGTAACAGTTTGCATATATCTGAATGTACATTTCATTGATAAATTTCTTGAAATTTTATGGATAGGATCTATAGAATGTTGTGTTCAATGCACCACATTTTGTTTATCTCAAAAGCATTGATAAAGTCTGGAGAATTGATAACTATCAAGCCAATCATATAAGGATTCTGATTGTATTAATTCAATCTTTACACCAAAAACAGTTACATGTGTTTCACACCTTAATAACAAAATTCAATCATTTAAAGGGGCATTGTAAGTCAATAATTCAACTCATCTGAATATGTATTCATCTGACCTTTAATTTAACCCTTAGCTGGAAATGAGTTAAACATGTGTAAAGCATGTTCAGCTATTACCATGATTACAAAAAAAAGAATGTCAACATTGGAATGTGGAACTAGGAAACAAAGGGGAAAATCTATTGTGTTGACTGATTATCCACACACTTATTCAGGTAAAATAATACATATTTTTTTAATCAATAGCATGAAATCAAACAGATCTAGAAAAATTGCTGTAATAATATTGCTGCTTTGCATGTGCCTGTATGTGTTTTTATATTTATGTTTGTATCAAGTTGTATATCACAATTTACATTCTTCAGAGGTCATCATGGTGGTTAATTAGGTGGGTCTGGTCTAAAATACAAACGAAGTGCTGATCAATTATAACGAGTCCATGCATTGTAAATTATGCTTCTTTTGGAGTTTTCATAATTTGGATATATGTTTTAGTATGTTATAAATCACATATGAGAATTTGAGTCAAATCGGTGAACATGAATTTGACAGCTAATGCCCCTTTAATTATTTCTATCATATTATGAATATCTTTATTAACTGGAAGTACTTAATATTAATAAATAATACATTACCTTCTGCAACAGTTATGTTTTCACATATGAAAATTCCTCCTGTGTCTTTTGCTGTGACTGGCTTTCCTCCAAGAGTGTATTGGCATTTCAAATCAAATAGGTTGTCGATAACAGGTTCCAGTTTGAATGTGATATCAGTTTTTCCCTTCAAAAATTAGTAAAACAACCCCATGTGTCAATGTTTTTTGTGATGTAAAAAAAATAAAGGCTCTCAAGTGCCTGTGTCGCTCACCTGTATCTACTGTGGTTTTGGAAATCATGTAAAATAAATTTAAAATCATAATAAATAGTATTAGATACCCTAATAATGGTTGAGGCCAAGTTTGGTTTAATTTGGCCCAGTAGTTAAATTAAAAGCAGGTCATCCCATTGTAGTCTTACAATAGTTACTGAAGACCCCTTATCATTATTTAAATTAGTTTTCAAGTTGTGACCATTTGAAATTGTTTTTTTACAATTTTCCCATAGACTTCTATAGTAAACCCCTATGTTCTATTTTTAGCCATGGCAGCCATGTTGGTTGGATGACAGGGTCATCGGATACATTTTTCAATCAAGATACCCTATTGAAAATTGTGGCTAAGTTTAATTCTATTTGGCCCAGTAGATTAAATAGTGAAGATTTTTGTAAAAGATTACAAAAATTTACGAAAAATTGTTAAAAATTGACAATTTTGGTCATTTGACTTATTTGTAGATCGTACTTTGCTGTTTACAGTTTATCTCTATCTATAATATTATTCAAGATAACCAAAAACTGCAAAATTTCCTTAAAATTACCAATTCAGGGGCAGCAACCCAACAACAGGTTGTCTGATTTGTCTGAAAATTTCAAGGCAGTTAGATCAAAACCTGATGAACATTTTTACCCCCGTGTCAGATTTGCTCTAAATGCTTTAGTTTCAGAGATATAAGCCAAAAACTGCATTTTACACCTATGCTCTATTTTTAGCCATGTCGGCCATGTTGGTTGGCAGGCGGTGTCATCAGACACATTTTTTAAACTAGATACCCTTATGATGATTGTGGCCAAGTTTGGATAAATTTGCCCCATTAGTTTCAGAGGAGAAGATTTTTGTAAAAGCGAACATTCGGGCCAGGTGAGCTAAAAAGGGTTAACCTTAAACAATAGCCACTTTAGTCTTGTAATATACTATGTAACTTAAAATAAGAATGCCTGGGTTGTCATGCTATTCAAACCCAACTTGTAACTTCAAAGTATCTGCAAACAAGAAATATAGGAGTCTAATACTGATCTGAAAATCAAGAGCTCACACCTTACAAAGAAATATGGGAGTTCAACAGATCTGAAAAATAAATCACACCTTACAACTTATCACAGTCAAGCTGCTTTCCAAATATGAAGAAGTTCTGAAAAAAATTGAAAAAAATATTTGTTGGACCAGAGCACTGCATGCAATGAACAGATGGACAAACAAGGTGATTGCAATAAAACCTCCATATTCATAGTTTGGGGATATAATAATATACACAACCAACCTTGACCTGGCCTGCAGATCATTTTCACCCTTTTTCAGTTTGCTCTAACAGCTCAGTTTTATAAGTTTTTACAGATAGAAGACAAAACTGAAAAAATTGACATTTCAAGGACAATAACCAAAACTTGGTTCCCTATTTTTCTGAAAGTTTTTCACCAGATAGATCTTGAATGGCTGCCAATTTTCATCTAGGCAATGTGAGCTAAAAATAGATTGCCATTTTGTTATTAAAATTGCTCCAAATCATATCATGTGATTTTTATCATCACATGATAAAATACTAACTACCAGAGGAATTACTTCAGCATTGCATCCAAAACTCAAGCAAACAAACGCTTTAGTAAAACTTTGAATTCTCTCTTCCAGGAATTATTCCTATAAGGTATAGAACCACTAATTCAGGCCCGGTCGGAAAGAACATACAAGAAAGTAGTACATATTGTAAACAAAATAGTTCCTACGCATAGCTGTATCTTTGTCAATAGTTGGAATATTTGGGTAGTTTTAGTATCAAATGAAAGCTTGGGGACTTGGGATCACTGTAGAACCCTTATTGAAAGTTTTATTTGAATAATAAAGAAGTATATGAAATTTTAATAGGAGGGCTCATTTGGCCTGTTGTTCAGATCAGAAGTTCCTGTTTTTGTACTATCAAACTTCCGGGAACCAGTACGCTCTAATATGCAATTAAAGGTATGTTGATTTTTTCAGCACAAGTCAGGATAAGGTACAGTTTTGACATGAAATAACTGCCACTTTATTTGAACTTAAGACAAAGTAGCCATTAATGCTTGAATTTGCAGAATTTAACATAGAAAGCAATGGGGCTATGAATTAGTGGTTTTATACCTATTACTGACAGGCATGTGAAATTCTATTTTTAGAAATCATACCCTTTACAGTGAAAATTGGTCACATTTGTTGTCAGAAATCATGTTACGTTATTTTTTTATGTAACAATTATGTTAGTGACAAGTTACAACCCTCAAATTGCTAAAATAAGGTATTTTAGCCTTTTTTGGTCATTTAGCATGCACACAGTTAAGATTTTACCCGAAATTTTAATTTTTGGATTATCTAACACTGAAACCAATGACTTGTATATCATGACTAGTTTACAGTATAAATATTGTTTTTGGTCAAATTATCTAGTGAGTGTTCATGTTTTATTGTGTTTCTTAGTGAATTACTTATTTCAAGGAAAATTGGTGTATACTTATGTAGGAAATCCAAAATCTCACTTGAAATGCATTTTATAACCATTTTAGCAAGTTGTCTAGCTTGGAGATACATAAATTGCTCTTGTTGATCCATGTTTGTACATAAAAGTATGGTTTTTTACTAAATCACTCTCCTTTTCCAACATGTAGAAAAAAGGGGGACAAAATTATCAATTATATTTTATGTTTGGACCACTGTATTTATATTGAAGGAAGAATCTCTGATAAAAATAAACATATAGGTAAGAACACTGTTATTTGAGTAGATATTAACAAATCAGAGCTGGGAAAAATTGAAAAAGTGTTATATCTGTCACTATTAGTATCCATAAGTAGTTTTCTTTGTTTAACGCATATGCTACTACCAGTCCAATTTGAGCTTGAATTCAGTGATATAGTGTTTTGACAAAAGCTTGATGTGTTTTTCTATGCTAGAAATAGATCATAGAAGGAAATTAAGTCAAGCAGAAGTCAATATAACAAGTTTGGTGCTGTTATAGGTATAGAACCACTAATTCAGGCCCGGTCGGAAAGAACATACAAGAAAGTAGTACATATTGTAAACAAAATAGTTCCTACGTATAGCTGTATCTTTGTCAATAGTTGGAATATTTGGGTAGTTTTAGTATCAAATGAAAGCTTGGGGACTTGGGATCACTGTAGAACCCTTATTGAAAGTTTTATTTGAATAATAAAGAAGTATATGAAATTTTAATAGGAGGGCTCATTTGGCCTGTTGTTCAGATCAGAAGTTCCTGTTTTTGTACTATCAAACTTCCGGGAACCAGTACGCTCTAATATGCAATTAAAGGTATGTTGATTTTTTCAGCACAAGTCAGGATAAGGTACAGTTTTGACATGAAATAACTGCCACTTTATTTGAACTTAAGACAAAGTAGCCATTAATGCTTGAATTTGCAGAATTTAACATAGAAAGCAATGGGGCTATGAATTAGTGGTTTTATACCTATTACTGACAGGCATGTGAAATTCTATTTTTAGAAATCATACCCTTTACAGTGAAAATTGGTCACATTTGTTGTCAGAAATCATGTTACGTTATTTTTTTTATGTAACAATTATGTTAGTGACAAGTTACAACCCTCAAATTGCTAAAATAAGGTATTTTAGCCTTTTTTGGTCATTTAGCATGCACACAGTTAAGATTTTACCCGAAATTTTAATTTTTGGATTATCTAACACTGAAACCAATGACTTGTATATCATGACTAGTTTACAGTATAAATATTGTTTTTGGTCAAATTATCTAGTGAGTGTTCATGTTTTATTGTGTTTCTTAGTGAATTACTTATTTCAAGGAAAATTGGTGTATACTTATGTAGGAAATCCAAAATCTCACTTGAAATGCATTTTATAACCATTTTAGCAAGTTGTCTAGCTTGGAGATACATAAATTGCTCTTGTTGATCCATGTTTGTACATAAAAGTATGGTTTTTTACCAAATCACTCTCCTTTTCCAACATGAAGAAAAAAGGGGGACAAAATTATCAATTATATTTTATGTTTGGACCACTGTATTTATATTGAAGGAAGAATCTCTGATAAAAATAAACATATAGGTAAGAACACTGTTATTTGAGTAGATATTAACAAATCAGAGCTGGGAAAAATTGAAAAAGTGTTATATCTGTCACAATTAGTATCCATAAGTAGTTTTCTTTGTTTAACGCATATGCTACTACCAGTCCAATTTGAGCTTGAATTCAGTGATATAGTGTTTTGACAAAAGCTTGATGTGTTTTTCTATGCTAGAAATAGATCATAGAAGGAAATTAAGTCAAGCAGAAGTCAATATAACAAGTTTGGTGCTGTTATAGGTATAGAACCACTAATTCAGGCCCGGTCGGAAAGAACATACAAGAAAGTAGTACATATTGTAAACAAAATAGTTCCTACGCATAGCTGTATCTTTGTCAATAGTTGGAATATTTGGGTAGTTTTAGTATCAAATGAAAGCTTGGGGACTTGGGATCACTGTAGAACCCTTATTGAAAGTTTTATTTGAATAATAAAGAAGTATATGAAATTTTAATAGGAGGGCTCATTTGGCCTGTTGTTCAGATCAGAAGTTCCTGTTTTTGTACTATCAAACTTCCGGGAACCAATATGCTCTAATATGCAATTAAAGGTATGTTGATTTTTTCAGCACAAGTCAGGATAAGGTACAGTTTTGACATGAAATAACTGCCACTTTATTTGAACTTAAGACAAAGTAGCCATTAATGCTTGAATTTGCAGAATTTAACATAGAAAGCAATGGGGCTATGAATTAGTGGTTTTATACCATAAGAGAGAATTTAAAGTTTTACTCAATTCATTTGTTTTATACATAGGAATAAACAGTTGTTTCTTGTAAAAGATTTTATCAGTAATTATCTTGAAATAAGAAGAAAATTGCAACGAA